GAGGACACCGACGAGCTGACCGAAGCAGGCACATCGATGGAAGCTAGCAATTCTCATTTCTTCTCGGTGCTCACCTGCTCGGAGTCCTAACCGCTGGCATTGCAGGAAGAAGGCGGAGGTTGCGTTCCTACCGCGACGCGTTGGAGCGGCACTTCGGCCATTCACCGGAGTTCATCGCGTCAGCGTTCGCGAGCCAAGTGCGCGGCGTCGGCGGCAGCGACTCGTCCAGGGCCTCAGATGCTTCTTCTCTCCTCAGGGAGGCGATCCACATCATCAGCTGCGCGTACGAGGAGCGGACTAGGTGGGGCTAAGACATTGGCTGGATGTACGGTTCCGGTGGTGGCGGCGTGGTCACGGGGTTTAGGATGCATGTGCGCGGTTGGGCGTCAGCGTACTGCACGCTGTTCGGCGCCGAGGCAGTGGCGCTCGCCCACAAGCTGTTTGACAAAATGCATTGCCAAGAGCTGCTTTAGAAGGACATGTCAGCAGGCCACGTCAGCATGAGAAGCCCGTGTGGTGAGATATGAACCTAAGTGATACGACATACAAAGTTTATGGATCCAAAAAGTCACTTTAAAAGTTGATGGACCTAACCGAAACCTCCTTACAAGTTAATGGACCTCTGATGCATTTAACTCTTTTTATAAATATGTATAAGAGCTCCAATTTTTTTTTCTAGAATTAGTTTCTTGAGAATAAAATCCCAAAAACTTGATTTCAATTATTAATCACAGTGCTCTCTTTTTTTATTTTTGCACCCATTTCGATAGTTGCGATCCAAATTAGATGAAACTGTCTTCTATCTACTACCTTTTGCTGCCAGACGATGATGTATGCTCAGAAATTATCTATAGCTAAACACCTAGCATACTTATATTTTTCATTTGTATAACAGACTTAAAAAAAAACATGCTTGTGTGATGTTTGCTATATGTCACGACCTGGCCTTGCACTTGGGCTTAGTATATGCCTATCATGTGCATTTCCTGCATCAAAGTTCATGTTTCAGAAAACTTGCATAGCAAAAACTATGTGCTCGGCTCGGTTGTCGCTTGACGGACAGTCGGTCCAGCCCGCTGATGCAGCAGTCGTACCCCACAGGTCACCCAGCTCCGGAGGCCATGCATGCCGACCCCAAGAGCCACTGCCACCATAGGTGATGAAGAGCCTGAGCTCGCGCGGCGCTATCAGTGAACGAAACCGCCACTAGGAGGGCTGCTGCTAGCAGAAGAGCAGCAGGAAAAATAAAAGATGGTTATGTTTTACAGAAGTCATGTGTTTTGGTAATTTGACTATTTGAGCCTTTTCTTTTGGGTTAACCCACTAATTAAATAATTCATCTTGGTGGCAGCAGCCAAGTTGTCAAATTAGCCTACAGGAGGAGAAAACTAGAAGGGTGTGGTATATGTGATCCATGGTGGAGAAAACTACAATGTCTATTATCGACATAAAGGCTACAAGTTATATACCACATTTAACTTGACAAGTGGTTACGGTAATGTACCATGTATATATTTAGTTTTATAGATCTCATCACACTAGTACAAATAAAACCAAAATCAGACTACTCCCTCCGTCTTGTAATATAGTGCATTCTAAAAATTTAAGATAGATTAAGAGAGAATATAAAATATGCATGTGCACTCATTTTATTTCCTAATTGGATGCTATGATCAACATAATTAATTGTGATTGATTGATAAATGGAAAATATTTAATGCAAAACTAGTTTTGTCTTCTAGAATCTCTTGTATTTGAGGACAAATTTTAATTACAGGACGAGGGGAGTATGTCTTAAAAAGACACATTTTAAAGCGAAGAAACAAAGATAAGTGTATGGTCGAGCACTCCAGCCCACCTCCCCCTCAGCTAGCTATTTTTGTTGGATTTAATTGACTTTGCCTCAAAGGCTTGTTTGGATACACTCAGCCATGGATACACTCAATCCACGTTGAATTCACCTAGTTACCTTCGTTCTTGTGGGGCTTTTGGCCTTCACTTTGTTTTGGGTAGCTGAGAGAAAGAATGACATGACAGAGCACTTATCACTTGTCCTTTGTTCACTTTCTTTTTTGGAGGTTTTTGACAAGTTTTGTAAATAAAAGTTAAGTGATGCCCTCAGATTGCTTGTTTTGTTTGCTTTGTTTCCTCACCAAACCAGACGATTAGCCTCTTTCCTTGCTACCTTCTAAGAAGGCTTATGAAGGTAGGGAGAAATTGAGATATACTTACATCACATATTTTGCTAAGTCAAATATCAAACCCAATTGGAGAAAACTAGTCATGCAATTAGATCGAGAAGTGCAAGTGTGTGATCCTACTTGAATATGAAAGTGAACACTCCTTTTTGCGATTTGATCTATGTCCTCTATTTTGACATCTTTGGAGGTCATGACTATCTTTTCATTCCTTTTCTTTTCTTCTTCACTTTCTTTCCCACATTTTTCATCATGCTCAAAAAGGAAGGATTTTTTCCTTAATTTATTTTTGGAGCATAAATATCTTTGTTTTCTTTTCTGTTTTTGCATAGCTCATGCCTTTCTCCAAATTTGAAGATAAAAATTTAGAGGTTGATAAAACTGATAACACGGAGCATTCTTATTTGGTGGCTAAGTCGATGACATGTTTTTGCTTACTTATAGCGTGGAAGTAAAGGATGTTTTTAGTGGAGTTTATGGGACCACGATCTTAATTAAAAGCATGAAAAGAACCTACACAAGGGTCACAAACAATTTGACAAAGCTCAGTGCAATCACAAGTAACATATTAGGGACTTGTAACGTGGGAGATCAACATATGGCTTTGGTAGAAATTTATCATCACTGACCATGATATTGTGTGTCTTGCACTTATACGAAGGGACGAGGGGTGGCACATGCGGGAAATCACCTGGTGCGGTGGTTCAAATTTTGTATTCCGCCTATTTGATTCTGAGCCACAAACTCTAGTTGGCCAAGCTTTGTTTATTTTGATGCGTCGTCTCTAGAGTCTTCTGGTCAAAACTTGTGCCAATGTGTGCGTAATGACACGTGTAATATTTCCCTCTAGTACCGGCTGCAATTTGTAGTGCCAGATTATGAACATGTGGGTGTGCAAGTGCAATAGTTATGAACATGTCCAATCAATTTATAGGCGTATTGTAGTAATTTGCCATGTTGTATTGGTATCCCTCTCCGGTCCTACAATTATAGTTTTTTTTTTGAGACGGAGGAAATAATTACTATCAATAGATATATCATTAAATTTATTTTTATAATAATTTTTTTTGATGATATAAGACCCCGTTTGGCAGGGTTTCTCCACTAGTTTCAGGAGCTATTTGGAGCCGTTTTCTGCCAAACGGAATAAAGTGAAATAGCTTCACTGGTGAAGCCCCTAAAAACATGCTCTCACAATGATTTGGGAGTGAGATGGAGTCAAAAAAGTGGCTTCTCTCGGCTCCTCCTCTAGACCCATAAAAACATGCTCTCACAGGGAAGTCATTTTGCCAAACGGTTTACCAAAATCGCTTCAACTCCACCGGTGGAACTGTTCGTGGAGCTAAAGCTAAAAAAAAGATGGCTTCACTAGTGAAATAAAGCCCTGCCAAACATGACCTAAATATAGCTAATATTTTTCTATAAATCTAATAAAATTTAAAAAAGACTCGTATCGTGAGACAGCGAGAGCAGATGAGATAAGACGAGCATGGCTGTTTCCAACTTAGGCCTTGTTTACATCCTATCAAAATTTCAAGTTTTTTCACTCTCTCTCTATTACATCAATTTTTGAACATATGCATAGAGTATTAAATGTAGGTAAAAAAAATAATTAATTATATAGTTTGATTGTAAATCATGAGACGAATCTTTTGAGCATAGTTAGTCCATAATCGGACAAAGTTTGTCAAATACAAATAAAACGTGCTACAGTATCCGGATTACGAAAATTTACAATCTAAACAATCGGGAACCGAAACACGAAACCACTGGCAAAGGCGTGGGAGCCATGTGCGAAACGTACTACTACTTTTGACGCCGGTTTTCCCCACTTGCTTTCCCCATTGACGAGTTTGACGACGAGGCACAGATGGATTCCTCGCCGCTTGCCACCAGTCAACACTGACCTGCGATCTAGTGAGGTCGGGCGGCCGGGCGGCCGTCCATCTCACCGCACACCGCCGGTCCAGTCCTCGCTGGCGCCGGAGGGTGTGAAGCCGTGAAGGTAACCCCTGAGCCCCGAGATTTTTTTTCTACTCTATTTAGTTAACCGTTTGGTTTTTCCGATGAACTCGACACATTTTAGTTTTATAGATCACTGGAGAGATTTTTTTTTATCGTTGCAGTTGAAGTTAAACCAGGTCCCCTCGAATCCATTTCATATTGACTCGGAGAATCTTCTGTATCTTATCTGTTATCTCCTCTACTCTGTGATAACTGAGAGGCCTCCACCATGGAACATGACGGCAAGAACCTGACTGTCACTGAGGTTGTGCGCTCGGTGCAGCTGCTCAAGATTGACGGCTATTCCGCCACCGCTACCATGGTGGGGTCAACGGAGTTCATCAAACCCAGATCCAGATGGCACATCGATGGCCACGAGTGGGAGGTCCATTTCTATCCTGATCACTGCCAGTTCCTCGAGGACGAGGACGTCATTCCCCCATTCGACGAGTCGAATGGGTCGCTCTGAAGCTCATCCTTGTCAGTGAACCCCAGAGGGACAAGCTGAGGGTGAATCTGAGCTGCCGGCTTGTAAGCCCCAGCCAGCATCTCAATCCCTCCAAAGAGAAGAGTGTGTCCCATGTATTTGACAGTCGCTCCAAATGCTCGCTTGAAGTTCTCCTCATGCTGAAACACGAGGTACCATCATCAGGTTATCTCGTGAATGACTCACTTACCGTGGAATGCACAATCACCGTGCTAGGAGCAGATGAGGAGCAGCCCCTGCCAGTGCCGCCACCCTCGGACCTGCACAAGCACCTCGGTGAGCTCTTGCAGAGCTAGGAAGGAGCGGACGTCATGTTTCATGTCTCTGGGGAATCCTTCCCCGCCCACAAGGTCATACTCGCTGCAAGGTCCCCGGTTTTCAAGGCCGAGTTCTTTGGAGGCATGGAGGAAAGAAGCTCCGATTCTGTCGAGATCAAAGACATGGATGCTGCTGTGTTCAGGTCCATGCTTCACTTCATCTACACCGACATGGCTCCGGAGCTTGAGGCGGCGGCGACCATGGCTCAGCACCTACTGGCAGCTGCTGACAGGTAAGGTTTCTTTTCACTTTCAGAACGGGTTATCATGTATTTCATTATTATATATGGAAGCAACAATATGACGACATTTACAGTACTATAGCAATAGCATCACCATGTGTATACGAGATTGGTAAGGTTTCTTGACTTTCAGAACGGGTTATCATGTACTCCCTCCAGTTCTCTAAAACAAGTCGTTTTGAGGTTGTCTTAAGTCAAACATTTTAAACTTGGACTATAAATAAATTTTTTTGGGTTGAGTTTGAAAATATGAAAGTGATATAAGTAAATTCATCTCGAAATGTAGTTTTATAAAAGTATATATTGACTATATTTTATAAATATTTTATAGAAAAAAGTTGCAGTCAAAGTCATTTCTTAAAGACCGTGTCGATGTCCAAAACGACTTGCTTTAGAGAACCGGAGGGAGTATTTCATTATATATATGGAAGCAACAATATGACGACATTTCCATGTGTATACGAGATTATAATTAACTTCTAAAAATTTAACAGGTATGGGCTGAACAGGATCGTTGGGGCGTAACCCTCTTAGCGACGCGCCATATCGGAACCCGGGTATGGTGTTAAATGGGCAAGGGCCGGGTCGTCACCCCCGTGACGCGCCGTGTCGTGATCTGGGTATGGTGTCAAGTAACCAAGGATTGGGTCGTCGCTTCCTTAGTGGCGCGCTACATCGGCGCCCGGGTGTAGTGAAAAATGAGCAAGGGTCTTCGCATCAGAGTCGACGGGTGCGAAGGGTAAGGAAGCTAGTCGAACCAACTAGGATCCGTTTAGGTAGTTGGAATGTAGGGTCACTTACAGGTAAGTTAAGAGAATTAGTTGATACCGCGACTAGGAGGCGTGTAAATATATTATGCGTTCAAGAGACTAAATGGAAGGGTCAAGGCGAAGGAGGTGGACAATCTGGGTTTCAAGCTTTGGTACACAGGACAAATCATGAATAGAAATGGAGTAGGAGTTTTGATTGATAAGAGCCTCAAGAATGGTGTGGTGGGAGTGAGAAGACAAGGAGATAGGATTATCTTAGTCAAGCTTGTCGTTGGTGATATGGTCTTGAACGTAATTAGTGCGTATGCCCCCAAGTAGGTCTCGGCGAGAGTGCTAAGAGAGACAGCTTCTGGAAAGACTTAGATGGCCCAGTTAGAGCTATACCTAGTAGTGAGAAGCTTTTTATAGGAGGAGATCTTAATGGGCATGTAGGTACTACTGGCGCAGTGTTTCGAGGCGCTTCATGGAGGTTTTGGGTATGGTAGTAGAAATCGGGAGGGAGGAAGTTCGGACTTCATGTAGCTTTTGACCTGATGATAGCCAACACTTTCTTTAGAAGAGAGAATCTCATCTAGTGACCTTGATGAGCGGACAACACTGTAGCCAGATTGACTTTGTCCTCGCAAGAAGAAAGGACAAACGAGCATGCTTGGATTGCAAGGTGATACCAGGGGAGTGTGTTGTTTCTCAACATAAGCTTTTGGTGGCAGATTTTCGTTTTCAGGTGCGTGCCCGTAGGGATAAACAAGCTAAGATTGAAAGAACAAAGTGGTGGAAACTGAAAGGGGAGACGTCAGAGGTATTTAGCGAAAGGGTTATCAAAGAGGGCTCTTGGAAGGAAGAAGACGACATAAACAATATGTGGGACAAGATGGCAACCAACATTCGGAAGGTAGCCTCAGAGGTGTGTGGAGTAACCAAAGGAAGGGGACGCGAGGCTAAAGACACTTGGTGGTGGAACGAGGAAGTCCAAAGGGCTATTAAGGAGAAGAAAGAATGCTATAGACGCTTGTACCATGACAGGAGTGTGGACAACATAGAGAAGTACAAGGTGGCAAAGAAGACTGCAAAGCGAGCTGTAAGTGTGGCAAAGGGTAGAGCGTACGAGGATCTTTATCAACATTTGAGTACGAACGAAGGAGAGAAGGACATTTATAGGATGGCTAGGGTTCGTGAGAGAAAGACACGGGACTTCAACCAAGTTAAGTGCATTAAGGATGAAAGGGAGCATCTCTTGGTAAAGGAGGATGAGATCCGACATCGATGGCAAGAATATTTTGACAAATTGTTCAATGGTGAGAATATGGACACAACCTTTCAGTTGGATGACTCTTTTGATGACACCAATAGGCGCTTTGTGCGGAGAATCCAAGAATCTGAGGTCAGAGAGGCGTTGAAAAGGATGAAAGGAGGTAAGGCGATGGGACCGGATGGTATCCCAATCGAGGTGTGGAGATGCCTCGGGGACATAGCTGTAGTATGGTTGACCAAGTTGTTCAACCATATTTTTCGATCAAACAAGATGCCTGATGAGTGGAGGAGAAGTATATTGGTACCGATCTACAAGAATAAAGGGGATATTCAAAGTTGTACAAATTACCGGGGAATTAAGTTGATGAGCCATACTATGAAGCTATGGGAGAGAGTTATCGAGCATCGCTTGAGAGCAATAACGCGGGTCTCTATGAACCAATTTGGTTTCATGCCCGGAAGGTCAACCATGGAAGCCATTTTCTTAATAAGACAAGTTATGGAGCGGTATAGGGAGAAAAAGAAGGACCTACACATGGTTTTTATTGACTTGGAGAAGGCTTATGATAAAATACCAAGAAATGTTATGTGGTGGGCTTTGGACAAACATAAAGTCCCAACGAAGTACGTCGGGCTCATTAAGGACATGTACAACAATATTGTGACTAGAGTTCGAACAAGTGATGGAGACACGGATGACTTCCCGATTAGGATAGGACTACATCAAGGGTCAGCTTTGAGCCCTTATTTGTTTGCTTTAGTGATGGATGAGGTCACAAGGGACATACAAGGGGACATCCCTTGGTGTATGCTTTTCGCGGACGATGTAGTGCTAGTTGATGAAAGCCGGACATGAGTGAATCAGAAACTGGAGTTATGGCGGGAGACTTTGGAGTCCAAAGGTTTTAGACTTAGTAGAACTAAAACTGAGTATATGAGATGTGACTTCGGCACTACTACTCGGGAGGAGGAAGATGTTAGTTTGGAAGGTCAAGTAGTGCCTAGGATGGATACCTTTCGATATTTAGGATCAATGCTACAGAGGGATGAAGATATTGATGAAGATGTTAGCCATAGAATCAAAGCAGGGTGGATGAAGTGGCGGCAAGCGTCTGGTGTCCTATGTGACAAAAGGGTACCACAGAAGCTAAAAGGCAAGTTTTATAGGACGGCGATTAGACCTGCTATGTTGTATGGTGCAGAATGTTGGCCTACGAAAAGACGACATATTCAACAGCTAAGTGTCGCGGAAATGCGTATGTTGCGTTGGATTTGCGGGCATACAAGAAGGGATCGAGTTCGGAACGATGATATACGTGAGAGATTAGGGGTAGCGCCAATTGAAGAAAAGCTTGTCCAACACCGGTTGAGATGGTTTGGACATGTGTAACGGAGACCTTCAGATGCACCGGTGCGTAGTGGAATCCTAAGTCAGGATAGTAACGTGAAGAGAGGCAGAGGAAGACCGAAGTTGACTTGGGTAGAGGCAATAAAAGGAGATTTGAAAGGATGGAATATACCCAAAGACTTAGCCTTAGATAGGAATGCTTGGAAGACAGCTATTCACGTGCCTGAACCTTGATTGTTTCTGTTGGGTTTCAACTCTAGCCTACCCTAACTTGTTTGGGACTTAAAGGCTTTGTTGTTGTTGTTGTTGTTGTTGTTGTTGTTGTATGGGCTGAACAGGCTCAAGCAGATATGTGAATGCAAGCTCTCTGGCGGCATCGGCATCGGCACAGCGGCTACGACGTTGGCTCTCGCCGAGCAGCACCACTGCTCGCTGCTCAAAGCCAAGTGTATTGAGTTCATCACCAAGTCTCCTGAAACTCTTGATGCTGTCTTGGCAACCGATGGCTATGCGCATCTGGTGGCAAGCTGCCCCTTGGTGCTGGCTGAGCTACTGAGGGCCGCGTGTGGAAGGAAGATCTGATGAGCTGGATGGTGATTTTCCTTGACAGTCCTTGTGTCCTAATATTACTATCTGCCTAGTAGTATTGCTAGTTGCTTGATTTCCCTAAGATGTGTGACCTATATGGCTATATGACTACTATATCATGATGAACTCTAGTGCTTGCAGTTGATTTCCCCCCCTTTTTAGTTTGAGTTGCTTAATTTCTTGTAGTACGAATTCTCCCTTTGTGGTTTTCATCATGTATGCACACGCATAACATGGGCAGCTAGCTTGCCGCTTCAAATCTTCAGCTGCCATTTTATGTGGTTATTGAATCTCGTTTTGTGCTTGTCATTTGGGGCTTAATTGCATCAGTTGCCAGGCATGCATGTCAGCATGTATGCGCACACATGTCACGAGCAGAGTGCTGCTTCAATTGCAACTACAAAAGAGCCCCAAAACCCTTTTTAGTCTGTTAAAAAAGAACTTTTTATAGCAATAAGGCCATTTGTACATTTTCAACAACATTCTTCACTCAGTCCAAAGGTGCAAGGCTGTTTCCAAGCAAAGTATCACCCTCGTTTTATAGTAATCTGTCTATTTTTTCTTTCTGTCCTTTTACCTTGTACCTTTTAGAGCAATAAGCTTTTATGTTTCTTGAGCTTTGTTTTTGTGCCTTGTACCTTGTACCCTTTACCCTTTTCAATAAAATTCCAGTTGGACGTCACACACCTCCTGTTTCGCCCAAAACTCGCTCATGTTCAGTACCGCTCCCCTAACGCCTTTCCAGATTCAAGTGCTCGCCGCGGCGTTTGGGGATAGGGAACGCCAGAGAGCACAAGTTTATTTCTTGATGACTCGCGACTCGCGACTCGTGAGTAGCAGTATTTAGGGAGTGGTGACGCATGGTCTTTATGATGCATAGACTGTACGGAGTAAATTTGTAATCAATCACTAGTTTGTTCGGTAAGCTGGAGCGTCGTTGATTCGTAGGAATGAATGCCTCTCCAGTTTCCACCGGAGGAGCCGCAGGTTGAGAGCCCTGTATAAATAGGCGACCGGGTGATCGAAGCGCTAGCGTATGATCTCAATCCCCTGCCTCCACCATTGCCCAAACCCTTTGCTCCTCCGCTATTCTGCAACAGCTTTACAGCCTTCGCCATGAAACCTGCCACTGCCACCACAAAGATCACCGAAGCCGCACGCTCGGTGCAGCTGCTCCAGATCGACGGCTACTCTGCGACCGCAACCATGAGCCAACAAGACTGCATCGGATCCACATGGAACGTGGACGGGTACGAGTGGGAGCTCCGCGTCTACCCTGAATACTACTACAGCAGGTCGAGTTGGGTAGCTCTGAAGCTCATCATCCACAGCAAACCTCGCACCGGCGACGTCAGGGTAAGCTTCACCGGCCGGCTAGTCGATCCGAGCGGGCGTCTTGAACCCTCCGAAGAGTCGAGCATGTGCCACGTGTTTTACCATCGCCGGGACCAGACGAAAGCCCTGCTCGTTGAAAAGCGTCACGAGATAGCGCCGGGCTATCTCGAGAACGATTCCCTGACGGTCGAGTGCGCCATCACCGTGCTCAGAGAACGGCCGGAGGTAGTCTTCCCCCCGGCTGCTCCTACCAACGAGGAGGAGGTGCCCCGCCGACGCCATCCTCTGACCTGCACAAGCACCTGGGCGAGCTCTTGGAGAGCCAGAAGGGGGCCGACGTCACGTTCCTGCTCGCGTCCGGTGGCGAGCGGTTCCCGGCGCACAAGAGCGTCCTCGCCGCGAGGTCTCGGGTCTTCATGGCCGAGTTCTTCGGCGGCATGGAGGAGCGGACCTCGCGGGTCGTGGAGGTCCATGACGTGAAGCCCGCGGCGTTCGAGGCCATGCTTCGCTTCGTCTACACCGACGTGGCGCCGCCAGAGCTCGATGACGACGACAAGCCGGCGGGGGTGACGATGGCCCAGCACCTTCTTGCGGCCGCGGACAGGTACGGGCTCGACAGGCTCAAGGCGATCTGCGAGGCAAAGCTCGCTGGCTGCGTCGACGTCGGCACCGCGGCCACGACGCTGGCGCTGGCCGAGCAGCACGGCTGCGCGCTGCTCAAGGCCAAGTGCGTCGACTTCGTCACTGGGTCCCCTGAAACGCTCGACGCCGTGTTGGCGACGGAGGGGTACGCGCATCTGGCGGCCAGCTGCCCGCTGGTGTTGACTGAACTCCTCAAGTCTGCGCGTGGAAGGAAGAATTGATGAGGTATATCGATTGATCGATGGTTCCTCATCAATACATAATCCTCGTCCCAGGATTTGGTGCACCGTATCTACTACTCCTATATATCTGCTCTCAAATTATGATTTCGGTGAAGGACTTGTCTGTTGTCACCGTCTATGTGTATATCATCATCTGGTTGCGTTGCCCCTTTGATTTGAAGTTTCTTTGAATTTCTACCGGCAAAAGATTGGCACACCGTGTATTTTTGTGCTCATCAAGGATCATATATAAACAACTTCTTAAATTGACTTCTGTATAATACATCGTTTAGCATATTGTCATCGTCTGGTTGCGTTTTTCCCCTTTAATTTATTTTGAATTTGTACCGGCCAAAGATCGGCAAATCGCGTATTTTTGTGCCCGATAATAATATGCCATGGGTGTCCGACGCGTGACTCTCGTCCGGACGCGGCTCCACATGAGCGTGCCCCATCTCTCTCAGAAACAAAAAAACAAATCCCCACTCCTCAACTGCTTATGCTTGGCGCCCACCGCAGCGTGGCCGCTCATCCGTCTGTGCCCCTTCCCCCCCACAGTGCGCTCATCGGCTGCCACGCCGTGCCCTTCCCCCACCGCCCCCTGCCCCATCGCTGGCCGCGTCGCGCGCCAGTCCCAGTCACCTGCACCGCTCGCTCCCTCGTCGTCCGTCCCCCATCGCCGTCACGAGCGTCGCTGACCCCACCATGGCCGCTGCGGCGCACGTGCCATGGCGCCTTAGGTCTTCTCTGGCCGAGCCAAGGGCACCCACGAGCAAGGCAGGTGCTGGTGGTGCTCGCGCGTCGTGACTAGACGGCGGCTCCCACCCTGACGACTGGAATCGACTGGCCCGATCTTCCCCTTCTCTATGCTGCTTATGTATGTTTCAAGTGTTTCAGACGTTTTAGATGTATGTTGCAAGTGTTTCATCTTGATGTTGCAAAAGTAGATCATTTGATGTTGCACATGTTGCATATGTTGCAAGTGTTTTAGAGGCATGTTGCAAAGTTTGTTCAAAATGTTTTATCTGTTTCCACATGTATGTTGCAACAATATGTTTCTAATATTTCAGTTGTTCCAGTCTAATGTTGCAGCAAGTGGTTTTCATGTTGCAAGTGTTTTATTTAGGTGTTTCATGTGTTTCACATACATGTTGCAAGTAAATGTTCCAAATATTTCATCTGTTTGCAGTCGTACATTGCATTCAAATGTTTTTTTTATGTTGCAAGTGTTTTATATTGTTCAGCCGAGGACGAGCCGGGGGCCAGCAGACGGGACGTGCGGCGCGCTGGGGGCCAACGCTGGGGGCCAACAGATGTGGGTGGTGGGGGCTGGCGGACAGGGGTGTTGCGGATCACGGGGCGCTGAGGGAGTCGGAGAGTCGCTCGTGTGTCGCCCGTACGGAGAGTCTTAGAGAGAGAGGAGGGGGTCAGGGGAAGGACTGGCGGGCTAAGAGACCAGGGTTGAGTGCACTCGTGGGGCGGCCCAAAGACGGACGGAGTGGGGTGAAGGCAGACGGGGGCGGGCTGTGCGGGGTTTGGACACGCGCTTCCGTTCAGACGTTCTGGCACTAGCCACCCCGTTTTTTTTGCCATATATGAACGACTTCTTAAATTGATGTTCTGTACATTTACGTGGTTTAGCATTGGCGTGGAAATTGAATGTTGCAAAAAAAAAAAAACATAAAGAACGTCTCGATGGACAATTGCTCTAAGTACCATATATATTATTGTGCTGTAGCAATAATAGACCTATCACATCTCTTTTATGGAGGTTCAGATCTATGCATTCTAAAAAAGTCTTCAACCTTCGGATTAAATCAAGGCCGACTTAATTTTATTTCAAAAATTCGCATTCCTATTAGAGATTCTAATGCTACAGTTAGCAATTGAAATGATTGTATTTTAAATTATCATCATTTGCTATGTTCGTTTTAGGAAACTTTAGACGATTTCTTTGTTTCAGGTTAATTTACTACTACAAAAAGTATTTTTAAGAGACATGCTCTTTGATTAAGAGAGAATTTTAGGACCGCCTATGTAAGACGGGTCTCATATTAATCATTTACATCATTTAAGACGACGTCTCTATTAATCAAGAGGCGGTCACTTTAGGACACTCGTCTCTGTTAATCGACTAATGTAGGTAGACTTCTTAAGATATCTATCTTTGAAAAATAACTATTAACAAAGGGGCGCATTCTATATTTTAAGGATCCGTATCTAGAAATTGATTATTGACAAAGACAACACTTTTAATTGCCCTATGTGCCAAATGGAGGCGGAAGATATTAAGCACGCTTTATTTATCTGCACCCATGCGAAGGATGTCTGGGCTTCGCTGGGCATTGAGGAACACATTCAGAGAATGATAATCGTTGATAGATCGGGCTCTGTTCTTATCCAGGAAATTATCAGAAACGGTTTTGAGGTAAAGGAGCTCAACCTTGGTCGAGCTGAACACATCTTGACCGGGTGCTGGTATATTTGGTGGCAAAGACATCAGTGTGCTCACGGTGAAGATATCCAAAATCCATCAAGATCAGCCTTGTCGATAGCAGCAATTACAACGAATTATGCAGTTGCATCAAAGAAGGGAGCAGTAATCAATCAAGGCTAGAAGAAACCTTCGGAGGGATGTCTGATGATTAACGTTGATGCCGCCTATGATGGCATAAAGGGATCGGCGAGCTCGGGGGCTGTTATTAGAGATTCCACTGGTGGATTCATTGCTGCCTCACACAGTTATATACCACATATAATAGACGTGGCCACAACAGAAGCATATGCACTGTGGGATGTACTCCTGGTGCAACGAATTGGTTGTACTCGAGTGGAGTTCCAGTCTGATTGTATGGAGGTAGTCAATACGATGCAGGATGGAGGTTTCTCGGCCACGGCTGCAGCGGCAATCTACGATGAATGTGCCATCTATTGGAAGGAGTTCATGGCAATTTCAATTAGTCATTGTAATCGAAGCTGTAATTCATTTGCCCATGAGTTAGCTAGGCAAGCTTTACTAGAGAAAAGCTCTCATCCCCCTGTATCTATCCTACAGGTGCTTCTAAACGATGTATCCATTTTGATGAATCAATAAAGTTTGCTGAAAGTTTCAAAAAAAAAAGACAACACTTTTAGGGCCTCTTTGGCACGGCTTATGCCGACTTCGGCTTCATCTATTTTGCGCAAATCGAGGCACTGTAGCGTGAAGCCGTTTTGTAAGCCAGGATTAAAATAAACTAGAAGCCGGAAAAAGCCAGTTTTTCTGGCTTCACCGGTGAAGCCGTTTTGGATGAGCCATGCCAAAGGGGCTTTAACAAGCCTATCTCTAGAAATAACCATCAAAAAATCATAATTTAAAAAAAAACTCAGATGAAGATAAATTTTATACCAAAACTGTAGAGTTCAACATGATCTGCAACTTTGTAGTTGATAAGTTTTATATAAAACTGTTTAGAGTCCTAAAATTGTATTTTAAATTCTTAAATTTATAATTTATAATTTTGAAATAACCTTGGATGTTAACTTGGTCTATATACCAAAGTTTTAGTTCTCAATACAATCTACAAATTTATAGCTGATATTTTTTTATTTGAAGTGGTTTAGAGATTGAAATATGTGTTTTAAGTTCTTAGATTTTGACATTTAAAATTAGAATTTCCAGACGACTTCGAATGAGTTAATGCCAAAGTTGTAGTGATCAACCTGATCTACAAGTTTGTAGTTGATATATTTTTATTTGAAGTTGTTTATAAAATCCTAAATATTTGTTTTATCTTCTCTATTTTAAGATTCAAATTTTTGAAATTTTCAATCAGTCTTGGATGGAGACATTATCCTATGCCAAATTTCTAATGCTTGACAATTTTTAAAAAAAATTGTAGTTGATTTCCTTCATTTGAGATCATTTAGTGGCCAAAATATTTAATACTACAAAATGTTGATACAAAAGAATAGAATCATATGTATTCACAAATGAGTCTACAGTGCAGTGGTAGAGATGTGTTATGTGTGATGAGGTTATGGGTTTGACTCTTAAAAACATTAAACTTTTTGTTTTGCCTTTGTTAATCAATTTACAAAGACAGACAAATCGACCGCCTTTGAAAGTAGTCCATTAATAAATCAAAACGTCTACCCCCTATTTTTTGGTAGCAGTGATTGACTAGTTTGTATTTTTTAGTTTAGGTTGCAATAGTCAAATGGAAAAACCACTTGTTCATTTTCAGAAGACAAACGCTAAAGTTTCAATTTACACATGGATAAAGAAATAACAATAACTAATAAGATCAAATATGAAAGTCTGTATTTATGATGTCACAAAAGGGATAAAAAAGCTATATAATTTAAGGTTAAATTTTAACTAGATCTATCTATACTATAAAAGAGCGAATGAATTGCAAAAAGCTTTTCACCTTAATTTATCCTACCACCTCTAATCTCCACCCTCAGATGTGTTTTATATATATTATTCATCCAACGTATATAATTGATCGGTAGGTGGACCAAACGAGAAAGGAGCGATTCATATAACTAATATTTTCCAACTGTATTCGAGACCGAATCCGTTTAGAGGGGTTCAGATCTATTCGTATCCGATTCCGGATATTCAACATCCGATGCCGCGTCCGTATCCGAATACTCGAATCGCATATTTATGATGTCGATATCCAATTGTATCATATCCGACATAGCTAACACTATCCGTATTCAAATTCAAATTCGAATAGAAATATGAAAACGAATGTAATGTCAATGATATCCGTCCGTATCTAATCCGTCTCCATCCCTACATACAACCGGCGAAACACGCGTGTTGCCTATGGATCTCCGCTTCTTCTCCCTGTGTTTTTCACTGTCGTCATCCTTACCCGCCTGTTGTACCCGCCAATCCAGTCTCCTTCCTCCCCGCAAGATCACACCGCCAATCCCGCACCGCTGCCCGGCTTTCGTGATTCGCTTCCTCATCTCGACAGGGAGGTCTTGCAGTTGATTTGATTTGC